TATACATTGCATGGTAAGATACATAAGTGACTTAGTACCACATAGAGTTCCTATGAGGTTCAAAATTTTCACTATCTTCATCATCTCTATGTGTATAGTGAGTGTATTGTGAAGAGAGTAGTTATCCAATTTAATGAATAATAATCCAATTTCATAATAATCCAATTTAATGAATAATAATCCAATTTCATAAAAAAATAATCTTAATATAAAACATGGTGATGAATAATAATCCAATTTGATAATAATCCAATTTAATGAATAATAATCCAATTTGATAATAAAAAAAGGCGATAACAAGCCAATTGGCAAAAATGATTTAAAAAATCTAAATTGTCTAACTGACCGACACTCTTATAGACTCATTATATCACTTTTATAGACTCATCTTACCCTTATAAATTCATTATTTTTCTTGAAATTGATTAGAATCATTAGAAAAACAATTTTTTGCATTTCCATATGCCTAACCAATAAATACAACTTCTACTATTTCCCTGAAATTATATATTTTCACTTTTTCCCTGAAATTGAGTCATTTATCCTAATCTAATCTAGACCCCCAGATTAATTTATATTTTCACTCTTTTTCTGAAATTATATAAATTGTGCAATTGAGTCCTTTATCCTAATCTAATCTGGACCCTTCATCTTGATTCTCACTCTTTGTCACGCTGCCACGTGGCAGCCCACTAACCCTCACCCTATCTCTCTCTCTTTTCCCGAGTCCCTCTCGGACCCCTCACTCTCTCAGAGTTCTCAACTCTATCTCTCTCTCGAACTCTCCCTCCCCTGAACTCTCCATCCCTCTCCTCATGAACTCTCACCCTCCTGAACTCTCCCTCCCTCTCCTCCGTCTCTGGGAAGCACGGCGACGCGCAGAGGAAGCTCGGCTTCCCCGATCGCACCCACACCCAGGCACACCCAAATCCGTCCACCCCGATGCCAGCGCAGCATCTCCACCACCCTCCCTCCCTCTCCTTCCATCTCCTCCGTCTCTGGGAAGCACGGCGACGCGCAGAGGAAGCTCGGCTTCCCCGATCGCACCCACACCCAGGCACACCCAAGTTTTCAGGTGAGATCCGACTAAACCCTATGTTGATTACCTCTTGCATGCGTGAAATCTGAAGTTTATATGTGAAATTGATGTTAAAAATCGTGTTTTTGCAAGGTTCCAAAAAATGTCGCGATATTTCCAAAATATCGCGATATTATCGATATTATCGATAATATCGCGATATTTTGACGAAAATCACACGGATACCTATTTAAATATCCATTCCCCGAAAAATCGATATTATCGGCGATATTTCGCCGATAATATCGATATTTAAATCTATGGTTAGAACTAATAGCAACTTTGCTATGAAGTTCAATGCCATTGGAGTAGGCTAGGAAGATGAAGGTGTGAGCTGATAAGAGAGGACACATGGCAAGTTTGTAGGTATATCTGCCATGTCAGAAAAGACAGCTGGGATTTGTTGAAGAGTGGTTATTTTAGATAAGATTTGGTTGGATTGGATCTGTTAAGATTTGGTTAGATTGGATAAAAGATTTTCTAGTCGTTAAGTCGGTTGGTGGCCTTTATATGTTAGCTTTCTGAAAAGACTTATTGTATCGAACCTTTACATTGAATGAATATTCATCCTTTGAGTGCACTACTCTCTCTCTCTCTGAGTTCTTCTTCCTTGCTTCATTTTTCCTGCTTTCTTGATCAAACTTTAGTAGATTTACAGTAGTTAATATGGTATCAAGAGCCAGCGATTCTTCTGTGGTGTCCGATTTTTTGATTGGTTTTCTGAGGCTCGTCGGTACTTTGGGTATCTGAAATTTCAGTCGGCGACAGCACTTTGGGCATCTGGAAGTTGAGTTGGTGCATTTGGATTTCTCGAATTGCCTTGCTCGGTTTCTCAATTCAGGTTATATGCTTCAATTCCCTGTAAGTGTATGATTTTTTTTTTTTAGTCTTTGAAGAAGTAGATTGTTTTGTTTTGAGGCACGAAGCCATCACGGTTTATTTGGGGCACAAAGCCATTACTGTGTGTTTGCGGCACGAAGCCATCTGCGATCAAGATTGTTTGTTTGGGCATGAAGCCATCTGAGAAATTTTTTTGTTGTTCTTGTATCTTTGAAAGTTGAAATTGTTCTTTTTCTACTTGTGCTCTTGCAATATGCATAGTTTGTGTAGCAATGGCGTCTAATACTGTTCGAATTGAAGGTCTTTTGGGTATGCTTACAATCAAGTTGATGTTAGAGTATGAGTGTGATTCATACGGTTTGGTAATAATCCTTATTGTCTCAGATTGCTATAGAAAAATCTTAATATGTTTATGAGAGTTAATTCGACTTTGGTTTGGATTGAAACTCTATGTCGATAAGCTTAAGAATAGAACTTGTACAAGGATTTTGTCTTGTATTCCTTGTAGGATTGTAATAGGGCAATCTATATTTAGTATAAAAACATAAGCCACTACTCTCACAAAACATACACTCAATATTGAACTAAGACCTATTGTTAGTTTGAGTACTTTTGGTTTTGCAAGAGGGGAGAAGGTGCACTGTTTAGAAGTTTGATTTGGCTTCTACTGTTTTTACGGTCTTACAATACAACCACCACATTACGGCATTCACCACAACAAGGATCAGACAATGGAGGAGTTGTTCTACCATCATGAGCATAATGAGCTTTTGAAGTCGGTCCAAGAATGGATAAAAGAAACGGCAGAGTCATGCTCAACCGTAGCGGTGCTAGTGGCCACTATGGATTTTGCGATCGCCTACGCTATCCTACGGGTTAGTTTGTTATTGTGTTTATCGAATTGTGATTTTAATACTTGTATAAATTTGTGGTTCATGAGCTTAATCTCTTAACTTATAAATTGGATAAGTTTAGTCTTACAGTTGAATGATAAGAATTTTTCGAAATGGGTTTATCAGTTCAAGTCTGTTATGAAAGGGTATAAGATGTTTGATCATTTTGATGGCACTACAGGTTGTCCTCCTAAATTTGTGATTAATACAGAGCATGGGGTTACTAGTGTAATTTTGTAAGATTAGGAGAGCGTTTCAGATTGAGACAGTTGGTATAGGCTTTGCATGATTAAACAAGATGGGCACATTTCTCAAGCCTCAAGGTTGACCTACAAATTATAATTACAAACCAAAGCATTTGCTACAAAAAAGAACATGAACTGCAGGTACATTGCATACATAGGCCTCATTTGGCAGCTCGGACTGTACTGATTATTTCAGTCGGATAGGATAATTTGTCATCGGATAGTACTGACTATTTAGTTGAGCGTACTAACTATTTAATCGGGCATTTGGTGCAGTACCAGATTAAAAACTCAATTCATCAAAGATTATCATGTTCATTTACTTCCTCAAAAGGAGATTGAAGAACATTTATGGCACTGAGGGTTCACAATTTAAAACTAGCAAGAGAGATGGAAAAAGAGCCAGCTTGATTTTGTTTTCAGCAACCCGACTAATTAATACTGACGATTTGGAGTGTATAAGTTATCCGGCGTACGTCGTATAAAATAAGCCGGACCGCATAAATAATCCGGTGCTAATACGGAATGGCACTAAATACCGGATAATATTAAATAGTACTATCCGGTGCGTTATCTGGCATGCCAAACACGCCCATATTATAACAAATGGACATAATATTCTAGTAGTGCTTTATTGTAACAAGGCACCGTAGTACATCGTATGAATTTGGAACGTCCAAAAAAACTGTTTCAAATGTAGCATATCCCCTAACAAATCAAAACTTTCTGGTACCTGAAACCACCGATAGTTCTCTAACCTCCTCAAATTGCTTACTAATTCCTTGTATCTCCAGAGTGCTGCCATTGTACTCCTTGTTTGTGAACACAATCGATATCAATACAAGGGCATTCCGTCCGTCCAATCCAGACGTCATAGTCAACCCTTGAGCCCTGCCAACGGAGGCTGAGTTTCTGTCCAAGTCTTCCGTTATTAGGTCATCAACGACGTAAATTGTGGCAAATTGGGTGTAGCTCCAAAGCTTGCCGGAAGACCTACAAGTGGAATGTCTCTTGCATTTGGACCGGCAGTGATGTCTTGAAGGTAGAGGGAGAGTTGGGTTTCTTTGGACTTGGGAGTGGCTCGAACTGGAAGTGGAAATGGAGCCATGGCTAGAACCATGACTAGTATTATGGATTGAGCACTGAGCTTTGGTATGAACTTTAATGCCATTGGTTGATGCATTGGAGCTAATTGAGAAACGAAGAACAAGCAATTTAGCTTTAGAAATAGCTTTGTGATCTTCAGTTTCATACGGTTAGGGTTTCAATTTATAATTTGAACAAAGGAGCAATTATTTAACTTCTCATTTGTATGCAAAATAATTTGTTTACAATATATGTATTATTTGCATGCTAGTGTATTATTTGTTGCAAGTTTTTCATAGTTTGTATCAACTCCCATTGGCCTTGTGGTTTTTTTTTTCAATTGGGACCTTTTGGCTCACCCTTTGTACTTGCTTGCCTGCTTTTGGCTTCTTTGAATCTACGATCTTTCGAATAAAAAATAAATAAATAAAAGTGGTACCTGAGATTTGTATAACTCATCACTTTGGTCCCTAACATTTCAAATCAATAAAAGTGGTCCTGAAGGCAATGAAGGGTCTGTTTGGTGGGCTGGTTGGGATGAATTATGACCAGTTGAAATAGACTTAAGTCTAGTCAGTTGTTTGTTGTGTCAAAATAAAAATAGATTAAACATGGTAGGATATGATGTGTTATGAATTTACTATAAAGTGAGTTATCTAACTCATCCTCACACACTGGTTACAATCGCATTGCAAGGCAACCGCGTTCAATCTTCCTCTCCTCCCTATAAACTTGAGTCTACTCAGTTGTTTGATTTTTTTCTGATTGTTTTGGTTGGATTGGAACGACCGTAATTGGGAAAGAGAGAGGAGGAGGAGTGAGGGTGAAGTGAGAGAGGGAGTGGGAGAACGCTCATCCTTTTCTTCCGTTTGCGGCACCGGAAAGCAATCTTTATTGAATAAAAACGAGAATTAACAAAATTCTTGCATCATTTGATTACATTTTATATATAACTATAGGTACGAATTTATAACTGCAGTCATATTCTTTTCTGCTTCGACCTCAAATCTACACTACCCACCTCATAGAGCTAGATATTGACAAAGATGACAGATAATTACTAAGTAACCACTCCCTTACGTGTTCTTTTTTCCATCAGTGTGGGATGCGCTTTGTTCAATCGATGTTAACTGACTGCGGAGATTTTGGTTGTCTGCCAGCAAGCGGTCGTATTCCATAAGAAGTCCTTCAGATTGCTTTCTTAGGGCCTCTACCTCACTTCCCGCCGCCTCTGCCTTCTTCTCTTTCGTCTCATATTCAGATTCCAGAGTCTTGATCTTTGTCCTCAATGTCTCATTCTCTTGTACTATGGTCTTAAGTTGCTTTGAACTTCCGTTTTTCTCCTCTTGAGAACTTTGGTTTTGTCTTTTCACAGCCTCCATGGCCTTCCTGAGGAATCGAAGTTCTCGTATATAATGGTGCAATCTATCTATCATCAGAGAAAGAAACAGAAAAAATCCTGCATTCGATACGATTGAAAGTCAGTTTTGAAGGATATGAATGGTTATCAAGCAAATCAAAGAAATCATTAGAATTGTAAATAACTTGAGCAAAACGATATTCTAATGACCTCTGCATCAGATGACCAAAGTTCTGCCTAACAGAAAGGAAGGGGAAGTAAGGTAGCATATCTAAAATGTTAAGAAAATATAGGGAAACAAGAAGGCAAGAAAATCTGATGTTCGAGACCTAACTCAACTTCATAACAGGTTGAGCTAATATGTTTCATGCTCAAGCTGATGAAAGTCCAACACTAAGGGCAAAGCAGAAGAACGTTCAGCTGCTTCAAAAGGTAGCTATCAACTTGCCCTACGTAAATCAAACCATTTCCTTCTAATTCCATCACATATGAGCTCAACGATTAACAGGCACAATTCATAACGAGTACACCTAACTCCAGTAACTCGAATAGAAAGTACAAGATGTAAGTCTAGATAACAGTAGATAAGCCTGATACCAATTTTTGAAAACAAGCTTAAGAGATCAAGAAGAATACCCATAAGAGAAATTTCGAGCATTTTCACGGACATGAGAACCTCGTCCGTAGGGTTGAGCACGCCAGATTCAATGGTTCGGTTCTTGATGTCAACCAGATTGTAGACGTCGGCCATCAGAACAGCAAATACAGTCCCAGCGACCGTCTTCACCATCACCGGGCCCTTCCCTTGCTTCATCTTATCCAAGGCGAGAATCACTAGCTTTCTCAGAGGGTTCTTGAACAAGAAGGCCAAAATCAGCAGCATTTCGCTGAAAATCACCGTGTACAGCAGCTGCAACATCTTTACTCCAAACTCCGAGAACTGAAGCAATGAACAAATTGAGGTGTTCTCAGTAAAATCAGTTTGTTTCACTGACCGTAATTATACGAATAAGGAATACTAATGATAACAGCAGACAACTTTTAAGCTATGTATTTGTTCAATAAAACTCCGCCTATGTCTTACATGGCCGGTCCCAAGCCCGGATAAAGGAGGAGGGGGAGGGCGTCAGGTAGTCGACAGCCGGCACTCCATGATCACGTCGAATCCTTATGAAAATGAATCCAGAACAAAATCGCGCTAAAGCTAGGGCGTCACCCGTAAGTGGCGCGCTGTGTGGCCCGAGCACAGTGATAAGTGAGCAAGGGTCGCTGTATCTCCATCGGCATCCGGATGCAGTGTTAAATGAGCAAGGGGGCCATAGAAACTTCTTTTCGAACGACTCCACTCAAAGTTGTTTGGGAGCATATGCTCCTATCAACTTTACCCGGGACACACAAAAGAAGTACTTTGATCCTATTAGACAGGGGAGGGTGAAGAAGCTAGGACAGAAGGGTAGAGTTCAAGAGAGCAAAATGCGTTTAGGAACGTGGAATATAGGAACCTTAACGGGAAAATCTATGGAAGTAGTGGAAGTTATGGTGAGGAGAAGGATAAATATTATGTGCCTACAAGAAACTAAGTGGGGTTGGTAGTAAGGCAAAGGATCTAGAAAAACTCAGGGTTTAAACTTTGGTATTCGGGCACAAATAGAACGAGAAACGGTGTTGGCATCATCGTGGACAAGACCTTGGTACAAGATGTTGTAGATGTCAAGAGGGTAGGAGATAGAATCATGGCAATCAAGATTGTAATAGGACAAGAACTTATCAATGTGATTAGTGCGTACGCACCTCAAGTAGGGTTGGATACGAGTTCGAAGGAGAAATTTTGGGAAGATCTTGGAGACTTGGTGCAAGGAATTGCTCAGACGGAGAAGTTATTTATAGGAGGAGATTTAAATGGACACGTGGGCAGGGAGACAGGCAACTATGGAGGTTTTCATGGTGGCCATGGTTTTGGGGAGAGAAACGAGGATGGGGAAGCTATCTTGGATTTTGCAATGGCATATGATCTCTCTTCTTAGCCAACACCTTCTTTAAGAAGAGAGAAGAAACATGTGATCACCTACAAGAGTGGGTCGTCAAAAACACAAATAGATTTTTCTTCTAATGAGGAAAGGGGATCGTATAACTTGTAAGGATTGCAAAGTTTTATACCAGGAGAGAGCGTGGCTAATCAACATCGCTTGTTGGTGATGGATGTACATATCAAAAGAGTAAGACAAAAGAACAATACTTGGAAGTGCCCAAGGACTAGATGGTGGAATCTAAAAGAAGAAAAACAAGTCATTTTCAAAGAGAAGGTAATCACCCAATGTGTGTGGGATAGAGAGGGGGAAGCTAGCCAAATGTGGGATTCCATGGCTAGTTGTATCCGAAAAGTAGCAAAAGAGGTATTAGGAGAGTCCAAGGGCTTTGCCCCACACCAAAAGGAATCTTGGTGGTGGAATGAGGAGGTACAAACAAAGGTGAAGGCTAAGAAGGAATGTTGTAAAGCCTTATACAAGGAGAGGACCGATGAAAATGGTGAAAGGTATAGAAAAGCGAAGCAAGAGGCGAAGAAAGCTGTCGGAGAAGCTAAGTTAGCGGCTTACGACGATATGTATAAACGACTAGATACCAAAGAAGGAGAGTTGGATATCTATAAACTATCTAGAGCAAGGGAAAAGAAGACAAGGGACCTAAACCAAGTGAGGTGCATCAAGGATGAGGATGGAAAGGTTCTTGCTACAGAGAACGCGGTTAAAGACAGATGGAGAGGTTATTTTCATAATCTTTTCAATGAAGGACATGAAATGAGTGATTCTTTAGGGGAGTTGAGTAACTCAGAAGAGTGTAGAAACTACTCTTTTTATCGTCGAATCCGGAAGGAAGAAGTGGTTGTAGCTTTGAAGAAGATGAAACATAAAAAAGCAATAGGCCCAGACGATATACCAATCGAAGTGTGGAAACTTTTGGGAGAGAGACAGGTATAACATGGCTCACTGACCTTTTCAATAGGATTTTGAAAACGAAGAAGATGCCAAATGAGTGGCGAACGAGCACTTTGGTGCCTATCTACAAGAATAAGGGTGACGTACAAAATTGCATGAACTATAGGGGTATTAAGCTAATGAGTCATACAATGAAGCTCTGGGAGAGAGTCATTGAGCATAGATTGAGGCAAGAGACGGGTTTCGGACAACCAATTCGGGTTCATGCCAGGGCGCTCAACCATGGAGGCAATCTATCTCTTACGAAGATTGATGGAAAGATATAGAGATGGGAAAAAGGATTTACACATGGTCTTTATAGATTTGGAAAAAGCGTATATGATAGGGTCCCAAGAGACATTCTTTGGAGGATTTTAGAGAAGAAAGGAGTACGAGTAGCATATATCCAAGCTATAAAGGATATGTATGAAGGAGCAAAGACTGCCGTAAGAACTCATGAAGGACAAACCGAAAGCTTTCCCATAACTGTAGGATTACATCAAGGCTCATCCTTAAGTCCTTACCTTTTTGCGTTGGTAATGGATGAGTTAACAGGACATATTCAAGATGATATTCCTTGGTGTATGCTTTTCGCAGACGATATAGTGTTGATAGATGAAACTCAGGAAGGGGTAAATGCAAAGCTTAACCTTTGGAGAGAAGTGTTGGAATCTAAAGGTCTTCGCCTAAGCCGATCAAAAGACAGAGAATATATGGAGTGCAAGTTCAGTGCAAATGGAGGCCAAAACGAGTTAGGAGTGAGGATCGGAGATCAAGAAATACCAAAGAGCGACCGTTTTCGTTACCTAGGATCTATCTTGCAAAAGAACGGAGAATTAGATGGAGATCTCAACCATAGAATACAAGCTGGATGGATGAAGTGGAAGAGTGCATCCGGCGTGTTGTGTGACCGCCGTATGCCACTGAAGCTCAAGGGAAAATTTTATAAGACGGCAATAAGGCCGGCGATGCTGTATGGCACAGAATGTTGGGCGGTGAAACATCAACACGTACACAAAATGGGTGTAGCGGAGATGAGGATGCTTCGTTGGATGTGTGGGCACACGAGAAAGGATAAGATTAGGAATGAGGATATCCGGGGTAAAGTAGGAGTAGCCGAAATTGAAGGAAAGATGAGAGAGAAAATCGGTTACGGTGGTTTGGACATGTGCAAAGAAGGCCTACTGACGCTCCGATTAGAAGATGCGACTATGGGACAGAGGTTCAGGGCCGAAGGGGTAGAGGAAGACCTAGGAAAACTTTGGAAGAGACTCTAAGAAAAGACTTAGAGTACTTGGATCTAACGGAAGGACATGACACAGGATCGAGCACAATGGCGTTCTAAGATTCATATAGCCGATCCCACTCAGTGACTTGGATTTTCCAAGTCTCCAACCGAGAAGTTTTCCTCACTCGGGAAATTAAGGGAACACTACCCCAACCTACATGCTCCACTCAGAAAGCTTCAACATACAAGCTTCAACATCAACATACAAGCTTCAACAAAAGAAAAATTCAAAGAACTTAGCGAAGAAGGCTTTGGTGTATTTAACACAATACGTTGAAATGAAGGAAAGCTTATTTATTGATATTCCCGATAAGCTACAAATATGTACATATACATGAGTCAAAATAAACACACAAAGAGGAAGCCTTCACAAAGGTTGCTTAGGAGAAGTCTCAGCAGTCGGTAGAGCCCCAGAAAGAGAAGGCACCGGAGGGGGATCATTTGGAGCCTCAGTACTGGACAGAACCCTAGAAGGAGGAGGCATCAGAGGTTGATCATTTGGAGCTTCATTACGCGGTACAGCCCCAGAAGACGAAGGCAATAAATGCCTTTGGAACAAACCCACAAATCTCTGATGATCAAGTAAAACCTGACCATCAGTTTCCTTCATCTGGTCAAGCTTCCTCTTCATGTTTGTAGCATAGTCATGTGCGAGCCGGTGCAACTGTTTATTTCTCATGCTTGAGCCCTCTAATCTCCTGTTTGAGACTCATCACTTCAGCCGCCAATGATTCAACTTGGCGGGTTCGAGCAAATAGGCGTTGGGCCATATTAGACACAGAAACCTGCACACTGAACACTGAGAGCCAGCGAATCCTTAACAGCTAACTCATCAGACCGTTTGGAAAGTAGTCTGTTATCTTTGGGAGTGAGAAGGTTCCTGGCCACCACCGCAGCGGTCATATCATTCTTTCATCACGGAATCCCCAACGGTAAGAGGACCAGTAGGGGAGACGAAGGATGGGCGCCATATGTTGTCTGGAGAAGGCGGGGCTGCCTCTTCAACAAGGTTCAAGTCAAAACGACGGTCGGAGGGGCCAGACATTTTCAAAGGTGTTGAAGAGAGAAGAGGTCGGACAAATCAAGATCTTAGAAGTGCAAGAATGAAGCTTCTACTGGTGGAGATTCAAGTGTGCTTTGGAACTTAATGCCAGCCCCTATAAAAATCTGCACTCGACGGAGCTTCAGAAATCGAAGAGGCGCCTGCTCAGAAATCGAAGAGGCGTTTGCTTTCTCAAAAGTTGGGCTACTTAGAGATCACGAGGGTTGATCTCAGAAATCGAAGAGGTGTTTGCTTTCTCAAAAGTTGGGCTGCTCAAAGACCACGAAGGCCGATCTCAGAAATCGAAGAGGCGCTCGCTTTCTCAAAAGCTGGGCTCCCCAGAGACCACGAGGGCCGATCTCAGAAATCGAAGAGGCACCTACTTTTCCAACCTTGTCAGCACCTGTCACACGCACACTCAGCTTTTGCGGAAATTATGGGCATTCTGTCAAAGACTTCTGGGGAAGTAGAAAACACATGAATCTTACTGTTCAATCACCAATTTCCCACACGCAACAATAGCTCATGGGTACCACAGATAACTTTGCCAAAGTTCTCTGCCAAAGTTGAGCACGTGAAGCTTGCAGCTCCCACTACATCGCTCTGACCAAGAAGGGTAAAAGAATAGCAAAGAAACAGCACTAACAAAGTTTAGACCCATAAATTTTGAAGGTCTAGCTACCATATTATTACCCACAAGGGTAAAGGAACAGTACCACTGCTGGATAATTGGAAAGTCCCTGGTGTGTCAACCTCTGTGCTTCGTGGCAAGGTAGACTAGCAAACATGCCCAACCTTTACTCACATTCGAGAAAACACTCCCAATAAGATTGCTTGCTCCAAAAATCGAAGATGCACCGTCCTCTGAATCTAAAGAGCCAGACTCCCAACATGACTATTTTTCTTAAAAATCGAAGAGAGGGTAAAGGAACAGTACCATTGCTGGATAATTGGAAAGTCCCTGTGTGTCAACCTCTGTGCTTCGTGGCAAGGTAGACTAGCAAAACATGCCCAACCTTTACTCACATTCGAGAAAACACTCCCAACAAGATTGCTTGCTCCAAAATCAAAGAGGCACCGCTCTCCGAATCTCGAGAGCCAGACTCCCAACATGATTACTTTCTCAAAAATCGAAGAGACACTGCTCCCCGAATCTCGAGAGCCAGACCCCCAGCATGATTGCTTTCTCAAAAATCGATGAGGCATCGTTCTCCGAATCAATCGAAGAGGCGCTCTCGCTTTCTCAAAAGCTGGGCTGCTCATAGACCACGAGGGCCGATCTCAGAAATCAAAGAGGCACCTACTTTTCTAGCCTTGTCAGCACCTGTCACACACACACTCAGCTTTGCAGAAATTTATGGGCATTCTGTCGAAGACTTCTGGTGAAGTAGAAAGCACATGAATCTTACTGTTCAATCACTCACTTCCCACACGCAATAATAACTCATGGGTACCACAGATAACTTTGCCAAAGTTCTCTGCCAAAGTTGAGCACGTGAAGCTTGCAGCTCCCACTACATCGCTCTGACCAAGAAAGGTAAAAGAATAACAAAGAAACAGCACTAACAAAGTTTAGACACATAAATTTTGAAGGTCTAGCTACCATATTATTACCCACAAGGGTAAAGGAACAGTACCACTGCTGGATAATTGGAAAGTCCCTGTGTGTCAACCTCTGTGCTTCGTGGCAAGGTAGACTAGCAAAACATGCCCAACCTTTACTCACATTCGAGAAAACACTCCCAACAAAATTGCTTGCTCCAAAATCGAAGAGGCACCGTCCTCTGAATCTAAAGAGCCAGACTCCCAACATGACTACTTTCTCAAAATCGAAGAGAGGGTAAAGGAACAGTACCATTGCTGGATAATTGGAAAGTCCCTGTGTGTCAACCTTTGTGCTTCGTGGCAAGGTAGACTAGCAAACATGCCCAACCTTTACTCACATTCGAGACAACACTCCCAACAAGATTGCTTGCTCCAAAATCGAAGAGGCACCGCCCTCCGAATCTCGAGAGCCAGACTCCCAACATGATTACTTCCTCAAAAATCGAAGAGACACTGCTCTCCGAATCTCGAGAGTCAGACCCCCAGCATGATTGCTTTCTCAAAAATCGAAGAGGCATCGTTCTCCGAATCTCGAGAGCCATTATACCACAGACCACTTTTTTCAAAGTGCTCTGACAGAGTTAAAACATGTGAAACTGGCAGCTCCCACTACTGTGCTATGACCAAGCAGGGTAAAGGAAATAGCATTACTACTTGTTGTTAGGGGAGACTCCTATATATGTCGACCTCCATCCCCAACGGACAGGCAGACTTGCAAAAAATGCTCAACCCTTCATCATATCTGAGAGGGCACTCCCAACGAAGCCTTTCGAAATATTCAGCTTTCTTTCCCCCCGATAATACCTCTGCAAACAAGCTATACTAGAGCAAGAATATCTCATATCATCAGGGTTTAAAAGCAAGAGTATCCCATATCATGCTTTTTCCCTGTCTTTTCTTTTGGCCTTGTTTTTACCTGCAAGACAAAGAGAAAGAGAGCAATCAGTCAGCACTTGGAATCAAGCTTCCAGCCAGAAACTGACTGCCTGGAACCCCTTACCTGATTACTTACCTGGCATTGCTCTCGAGTACTCATCTTCAACATCTTATGTTTCCAGGGAAGATTCCGCATCTGCTTGAGGAACAGATAGGGCAAGTGTGAAGGATACAAGGAAGCATGTGGAGACAAGCGTAACAGCACACGTGCCGATACATCCATTACTCTGTCAAAAGCAAAAGTATCCCATATCAGCAGGGTGGAACGTACTCTAGATTTGATGGACTTGTTTTGACCCTCAAATTCTTCAGTCGGCCTTATACTCTGGAGGAAACCAAAAAAACCCTCCAGCTCAGTTCAAGAATAAGCATGTGGAACGTTACTTCTTCAAAAGCAAAAGTATCTCATATCATCTCTTCTCATTTTTCTTCTCTTTATCCTTCATGCTGCTGCAAGATGGGGAGAAGGTGAACAATCAGTCGGAGCTCTGATTGCTTACCTTGTCTGTCACCTCTTTCAGCAGACCCCCTAGCTCGGCGACTTGGGGGACTCCTACTACATGGTTTGTATCGCGCTTGACCAAGCCTGAAACTACAAGTAAGCTTCAAGTGAAATTGATATATTACCTTGTGCATCTCCACCAGTTAAAGATACCACCCCTGGATGGAGGAAGAGTACTTCCAGAGAAGATGCCACATCTACCTATGAGACAGATAAGGCAAGTCAAGACGACACCACACTCCGATACTTAGAAGTTTCGTGATTACGAGATCATTCTCCCACAATATTTCCTAATGTCATTTGTACTAAATCATTCACTTGTTACTCACTAAAGGAGAGCTTGAACCTATGTACTTGTGTAAACCCTTCACAATTAATGAGAACTCTTCTATTCCGTGGACGTAGCCAATCTGGGTGAACCACGTACATCTTGTGTTTGTTTTCCTATCTCTATCCATTTATATACTTATCCACACTAATGACCGGAGCAATCTAGCGAAGATCACAAAAAGCGACCGTTTTCGCTACCTAGGATCTATCTTGCAAGAGAACGGAGAATTAGATGGAGATCTCAACCATAGAATACGAGTTGGATGGAAAGAGTGCATCCGGCGTGTTGTGTGACCGTCGTAGGCCACTGAAGCTCAAGGGAAAATTTTATAGGACGGCAATAAGGCCAGCGATGTTGTATGGCACAGAATGTTGGGTGGTGAAGCATCAACACGTACACAAAATGGGTGTAGCGGAGATGAGGATGCTTCGTGGGATGTGTGGCCACATGAGAAAGGATAAGATTGGGAATGAGGATATCCGAGGTAAAGTAGGAGTAGCCGAAATTGTAGGAAAGATGAGAGAAAATCGGCTCCGGTGATTTGGACATGTGCAAAGAAGGCCGTCTGACGCTCCGGTTCGAAGATGTGACTACGGGACAGAGGTTCAGGGCCGAAGGGGTAGAGGAAGACCTAGGAAAACTTTGGAAGAGACTCTAAGAAAAGACTTAGAGTACTTGGATCTAACGGAGGACATGACACAAAATCGAGCGCAATGGCGTTCTAGGATTCATATAGCCGACCCCACTTAGTGGGAAAAGGCTTTGTTGTTGTTGTTGTATTTGTTCAATAAAAACAAGGTTTTATAGCCAAAATGGTCTATATGAGATTGTCATAACTCCTCACTTTGGTCCTTGAGATTTAAAATCGATAAAATAGTTCCTGAGATTGTCTAATGTCAATCATTTTGATCCTTCTAGAAAAAAATTCATTAAATTGAAGAAACCACCAGTACAAGGAGAGGGGTTGATTTGACAAAAATACCCTAAATTAACGGAGATTTGAAGAACCAAAATGACTGATGATGGATAATCTCAGGACCACTACTATCGATTTTAAATATCGGAGACCAAACTGAGTAGTTATGCCAATCTCAGGTCCATTTTGGATAAAAAGCAAAAAAACAATACTACCGACTCATTTAATCAACTCATTCGGTGTATTTTCAGATATCGTAAGATATTTATACATATTTATACATATGCATTTTTCCATATAAAATACTGAAGCATTTCAATAAAAACCGATTGCAAACTGAATGATGATGGAACTCCGAATGATTTACAAATTTGCATAAATTTATGCTTAAAATGTCATGAATTTATCTAATATTACCCTTCATTCTACAGATTTAACGCAAACACGGAAACTGAGTGCTAAATTTACAGAAAATTCACCAGAAACTATAGCAAAAATAAGAAATTAACATTTTAATTTATCAACAACGTTGCTTTCCTTCACAAATTAGATGAATTAGATGAATTTGCTAAATAAATTCACAAATAAAATCAAAATGAATAACGAACACCATAGATCAAGGATAAACAAATACAGAAATAAGCAGATTCAGAGATGAATAAGTCTAGAAGCAAAAATCAGAGATCAAGTAAAGGAAAGCAACAGAAGAAATAAAAAACTGCGAAGACTTACCAAGATGTAAAGAGAGAGTGCAGGGGAGAGTGGATGAATGTGAGAGTATGGGTGGGAGAGTAAATGGGAGACTAGTTTTTTTTTTTTCTTTTTGAATGGTAGCTGGAGAGTACAGAGAGAGTGAAATATCAGGAAGAAAGCGAACCGCTTCAACTATAGACAAATATCGGTTTAGTAGGTTTGAGAGTAGGTTCAAACCTACTAAAGTTGACCATGGCAACTACAATACCAGAGAAATGCTAAAAATACTCTTTCAAAAGCGGAACTCTTGTCACTTAATACTACAGTAGTTGTATTCATCTTCATTTGTAAATAAGAGGTCTTAGGGTTGATTCTCGTTAAAGACGAATTTGAACAACATTATTGCTAGTCTATTGTAAGGCTAAGCACATCCATCTCCTTAGTGTAGATAATATCATTTGCTCAAAAACAAAAAAAAAACAAGCGGAACTCTCAAGGGGTTGCCACATTACTTTTTGGCACCATTCACTTGCTAAGGTTATAAAACATTGTGTCAAAAATATGAGACGGCGAAGAATTCATAGAGTCTCCTTGGTATTATATGTTTGAATTTCGATGACGAGGAGTTCAAACTAATTTATCCACACGATTCTTAGGCAAGTAGGCCGGAAGAAGTGGGTATGATACTAATATATTTAACTCATATAGGAATCATATTTTTACAATGGCCAGAAAATTTGAGTGTTATACTAATTTATTGGACTCATAAGTTCAATATTATATTTGTAAGTTCAATTATCAATATATCATACTCATGGATAAATTTTTAGTATGCCAGAAACACGTTCCGGTAAATCAAATGTGAGAATACAATTAGTTAGAAACTTGAAAAATAAAATTTTCAATCAATTATATTATTACATTTAATTTACCACACTAAAAAAAAATCATAAAAGGGTGTGGGTTAATCTGTCCTTTTGCATTTTGGGCCTGGGAGGTTTTTTCGTGCTCGGGTTTCGATCAAGTTCAAACTTATTCAGATTGGGCTTTGGATTTTTCAATTTTATGGTGTCCAATCATTTTCCTTTAGGTCAACTTATATTGCAGGATTTCTAAAGGATTAGTGTTTTAAAAATCGGCTTAAACGCTACATGATGGTCAGTTTTCGGATTAAACTCATGTCGGAAGACAAATCAGAGAAGAGATTAGACGGGGCGACGTCTAAATGGTCTCGGTGGGGCGCTGAAAAGCAAAGTCGGTCTGGGCGTGGTTGAACGTCGGAGAAGTGAGATTATAAATTTGAATTTTTCTTCTCTGTTTCAATCTGCAGGAGGAGAAATTTTTCAATGTAACTGTCACACGAGGTGGTACACCACATGTCTTTATATAAATGGTGAGTTATGTTTGTTAAAAGGTTAATAACTTAAAAATTAAAATTTTCTACTACTTGCATAAAAACACATAATATGTCATTCGTATTCCCGTCACAATTAAAAATTTCTCGTGAAGGAGGAGGAGCCTCATTGTTCCACGAAGAAGACGATGCATAGATCCTCGTTTCTCTCTCCCACGTGACAAAGTAACATTTTGGTCTTATTATGTAATTGTAATCCTATGAGGGTCCGCCACCTAGCACTAGCGTCCCATTAACAAAAGGCCTATGAATTGGGAGGTGATGAATATATATGCCGACACAAAATTAGGAGGTGTGGTGCCGGATGTCTTACTTCGGTTGACATTTCTCCAGGCCAATGCTTTTTTATTCGCGGTGTAACCCCATTAATTTTTTTCTAAAATTTATTATAAATTCGTAAGGTTTTTGAGATCAAATTACTAAGATATTTAAACGAATATTTTAATAATTTTGTATTTTGTATGTTAAATAATAAACCCAAATTCTTATAGTTTTTTAAGTGTAAATATGCTCTTATTTATATAATATATAAATAATTTTATTTCAATCCGCTTAGTTTGTTTAGGGCCCGGCTAGGCGCCTACACTAGGCTCTAGCTAGTTAGCTAACTACTGTTTAGTGATTTTTAGAACCTTGTAAAGAATTGAACCAAATAACACTAACATCCTGTTAAAATTCAATCCTACCAATTTGCATCCACACAAAAATTTAACCAAATGGCGTTTCAAACATTAAAAGTTGGAATCACATAGCATATATAAGGATGAGGTTAATTACACTAACACCCCCTTAGGTTTATCGTGTTTGCACAAAACCCCATCACGTTTGAAACATAACACTAACACCCCTTGAGGTTCTAATTTTGTTTCACATAATCTCTTTAGGGCTGACGTCACCTTAAAATATTATCTTAAAGACAAATTTTGTCCTTATATTTAATTACTTTAAAAATAAAAACAATCTTTTTAAAAAACAATATAGGGTTTAGGGCCTCTCCTCCTCATTCACCACAACATAATGGAAATTCTTAACATGTTTCACCTCCTCCCTAGCCGTCCTCACAAGAAGCTACTCCTTCGTCTCGGTTTTTCAATCAATCAGCCTCTCCACAAGCTTGGCCTCACCCTCCGCCATAAAAAAAAACATGAAAACCGCCAAATTAATCTTCCTCACGAAATGCAAGTTGTCATTGGAAACCTTGAACTTTTTTGCCGAATTCCAGAGAAGATCTTGGTTCATAGTAGAGGAAGAAAGATAACAATATTTCTATAATTTTCTTGTTATTTTTTAATTATAATGAGGGAAAATTTGTTCTAAAGAGGTTATGTGAAAGTGAACTAAAACCTCAAGGGGTGTTAGTAATATGTTTCAAACGTGAGGAGGTTGTCACGCCCCAATTACGACATACTTCCAGGATCAACACCAAGTCATATCCACAAAGGATACTAAATACGAAAACAGGGTAATAACCATATTACATATATTAAAGTCACTCACCTAGAGTCCGCGCTTCAACTTTCTAGCACGAATATCAAGGCATCCACGTCTGATCGTCGCCTGGGCATAAGCTTAGTTCAGTCGGGAAGCACCTGAAAACGTCCTCCAAATGGTCTGGTGGCCGGAAACTTTCGAGCCTCGTCGCTCCTTCGTCAAAGGTCCAATGACCATGATTATTGTTGGGTTTTACTCCTGCAAGGAAAGGTTACCAAACCCAGGTGGTGCGCCACCGTGATTGTTGCAGGAAATGGACGTAACGGCTCTAGGGTTTTGGCGAGTTCGCGAGGTCTCTCGTGCTTCGTTTGTCAAACATGGTAATTCACAGGTGGAATTAAGTTGAGGGCTCGACTAGGTTTGAAGTGAGGAGTAATTTGACACAGGCCTCGTCGTTAACGGTGACCGAAATGAGGAATTATGGTCGGGTTGGGTCGGCGGGTCGAAGGGGGTCCAAGTTCCTCTCCTTCTCATTCTCCCTATTTTCCCCTCATTTTCTCTTTTCCCATTGATCCTCTCATTTTCTCTATTTCCTGATTTCCTCCCATCTTTCTCCTTTTCTTCTTCTCCTATCCATCCATCTCTCCCATTTCCCTTCTCATCCCACCATTTGGCCACACATGTGGCACCATCTGATTGTTCCAGAAAATCTGGAGTCTTCTAGATGAGGGTTAAAACTACAAAAATGTCCCTAACTTTAAACGTTAATAACTCTTTCGTATTAACTCCGTTTCATGAACAGTTTGTGCCTACACGTTCATGAGATCGAGCTCTATTTGAAAATATAAATTGTGATCTCAAAAGCTCTACAGATTTTAGATAATTAATTTCCAAACTTCAAACTTCATAACTAGTTTAATTAACATCTAGGGTTTCGTGATTGTTGCAGGAAATAGATATAACGACTCTAGGGTTTCGGCGAGTTCGCGAGGTTCTCATGCTTCGTTTGTCAAACATGGTAATCCACAGGTGGAATTAAGGTGAAGGCTCGACTAGGTTCGAAGTGAGGAGTAATTTGACACAGGCCCCGTCGTTAACAGTGACCGAAATAAGGAATTGTGGCCGGGTTGGGTCGGCGGGTCGAAGGGGGTCCAAGTTCCTCTCCTTCTCCTTATTTTCCCCTCATTTTCTCTTTTCCCATTGATCCTCTCATTTTCTCTATTTCCTGATTGGCCTATCTTCCTCCCCACTTTCTCATTTTCTTCTTCTCCTATCCGTCCATCTCTCTCATTTCCCTTCTCATCCCACCATCTTGCCACACACGTGGCACCGTCTGATTGTTCTAGAAAATCTGGAGTCTTCTAGATGAGGGCCAAAATTACAAAACTATCCTTAACTTTAAATGTTAATAACTTTTTCGTTATAAGTCCATTTCATGAACGGTTTGCGCCTACGCGTTCATGAGATCGAGCTCTATTCGAAAATATAAATTGTGACATTGAAAGGTCTACGGATTTTAGATAATTAATTTCCAAACTTCAAACTTCGTAACTAGTTTAATTAACATCTAAATTCAAATAAATTAATATAAATTCTCGAAAAATAATATAAAATCTCAATAATACAAATACGTAGATTATAACAGAGAAATCCAGGAACGGGATTTCACAGGAGTTTTGTGAAAACACAATAAAACTAAGGGGGTGTTAGTGTAATTAACCCTATAAGGATGTGAATAAGAGAATTCAATTGATTTTGGATTGACATGGATGAGTACCTCAACCTAATCAATAAAAGATATTGATATCAAATTAAATTCAGACGAATTTTAACTTAATTCTAACACGCCTAATTATGTAACCACAGTAAGTGGCCCAATGGTAAGGGCATGAATTCTGACTCCCAAAATACAAAAAAAATCAAGAGGTCTCATGTTCAAATCTCCAAACCGGCAAATCTACTTGACTGTGGCTAGGAGAAGTTTAAAAATTACAACATTACTATTTTAAAGTAGTAAAGAAAATGTACCCTACAAAAGGAAAAGATCTCATAAGATTAGATTTTATATTATTTTTAATTTTAATCCTTCTAAAGAAATTAGAAGGATGGAAGCGCACGTTAGATGGTCGGCGTGAAAGCAGGAGCAGCCGCTAGAAGCTCATACCATTCTCCTCCGCTTGGAATTTCCACGTTCCCTCCCTCTCCGTCCTCCTTCTCCTCCTTCTCCTCCTTCTTCTTCTTCTTCCTTTTCGTTTCTGTATTTCCAGCATTTGGATCGCCACTCCGCTCTCAGCTTCCAGGTAAACGCTTCCCTCCTCAATTTTTGCATCTATCGAAAACCAAAAC